CGCATGACATTCACGCGTGCGGATAATTTTGCACGCGTGAATGCACTGTGAGACCATTGTGCGCGCATTTTGTTATCTGGGAACATGATGTTAAAATGACGTCCTTGCAATGACGTCAATAATTTTGCGACATTAGTACGTCATTAAAACGTCATTTAATGACGTCAGTCATGGTTAGTAAATGACCCAAATTTGACGTCAAAATGACGTATATTTGCTACCTGGGTAAAAACATTCAAAATGTCGTCAACTTTATCAGAAGGAGCTGCTAAGATAATATCATCAACATAACGATAATAAAAATTGAGATGAATAGGTAATAGACTAATAGCAGTTTCTTCAAAATCCTGCATAACCATATCTGCGACTATTGGTGATAATGGCGATCCCATAGGAGTACCAAAAATTGTTTATAAACCTTTTTATTAAAAATGAAAAACGTTGAATTTAAAACTAGTTTGAAAGCAACCAAGAATTCATTTAATGGAATATCAGTTTTTTTGGATATGGAATCCCATCTCTTTACAACACTATTCAACATCTCTTTACATCATCTCTTTACATCACTTTACAACACTTAATTATTCATTTTACACATTTAATTTTATATTTTTGACTCGTTAATTTTATTATAATTATACACATGTAAGTTATTGTTGATTCGTTTAATTCTTTTATACACACTTAATTTTAAATTTAACATTGAAAATGACCCGATCGGTGTCGAAACGTTTGTGAATTTTACCTATTAATTTTACTATGTTTGCGAATTTTGCGAATTCTATTTTATTGTATTATGATTTGATTTCATTATATTTATAATTTTTAAGAAAACTATTTGGCTCTTTTCTCTTATTTTCAACTTATTTGTTTTATACTTGTTGAGCCTTCTATTAATTTATTTTATACTATTTTTTGTTTCTATAGAATATTTAATATCATAAAGTTACTTATCTACATAAAATGCTATATGCACAAATAGATTGTTAAATTTCCGGTATTAACGTGCTTAAAAAGTTTGTCAATAGTCACATGAAATATCGAGCTGAGGCGATCAAAACAGGTTAAAATATCAATTTATGTCAAAACAACAGATTTTAATGACAACAAGTATATTATACATATACGACAAAATATTGTCGTACGAACGATCGCATGCGCACTAGCAGCCAATCAGTACACCCGACAAAGCTTGTCGTACGACACATGAAATATCGGCCTAAGGCTGCGTTCCGTTTTAGGCATATGCGCGTATTTTATATAGTGAGCGTCACGTATACTATAGGGGAATGCGCGCATATGCGTGAAACGGAACGCAGCCTAAATCAGCAATTACTTAAGTATGCTTTCCTTTTAGATGACACATTCGACACAAACGTCGTTCTATCCTTCTTAACATTCAACGAATGATAAAGATAGGACGATGTTTGTGTCGAGTATGTCCTCTAAAAGGAAAGCATACTAACCCATCGACATATAGTATGGACTGCGCACAGGCTGAAAGAATATGACCGGCCCGAAAGAAAGAGATAGCGACCGGTGTGGGTCAAGCTCTGTCTCTTTATACCGTTTAGCGATACATTACGACACGGTGTAAGAATAATAGGTGTTTCTACTCATGTAAAATCACTGTGATTTTCCTGAGGACATTCTGCAGTTAACCAGAAGGTGGCGTATATGTATAACATATAATCCCACCAAGTATTTTAAAAGATATGTGAATAGATCATCTGCTAATAAGATTACGGATATCAAAAACAAAACGAGGAAAATTTTAGGTATCCTTATATCAGGATATGCATGCTGAATTAATGCAATTCATTCTTCGCGTTGTTTGATGTTACTTGGCAGTTGGCACTCGAAATCGAAATACTGATTTTTTACTTCTTCTTCTTCTTCTTAATTTAGTTGGCCCAGGTTCCGTTATGAAATCGGATTAACGTGGCCAGTCATACCCAAAAAGATATATATGTGAGTCAACGCACAGTCAAAGTCGGCAACACTTTCAAAAATTGCTGATGCAATGACCGCGAGAATGGCGTTGCTCGACCGGTCTCCGGGCGCCTGCGTCTACGGCGTCGTCACGCCGCAATAACGCGCGTCATGAGAGCCCAGGTCGTCAAAAGGTGCAAATGACGAACAATCGAGACGAGCTCAACCGCGGCACGCATCTGTATGATAAAATGCACAGTCAAAGTCGGCAACACTTTCAAAAATATACAATGAAGAGCACCCGAACCGAAACGCGTCCGTAACGGTCGGATGGTTCGTCGGAACCATGGTGGAAGTATACATGGTGTGCTCAGAACTTGTAAACCACGCCCCTTTTCAACGCGGTTGTCACCGAAAAACATAGGGCGGCCAACTTAGAAAGGTTGGCAGTACTGAACTAGTAGTGTCTCTTTTATGCATGCGCCGTGGAGCATCTATCTCAGTCTGTCTTTAGCCGTCTCCTGAAAGAAACGTGCAGGCCTGTTATTTTGAAATTAAAGTGAAAATTTGAAGTAAAATGGTGCGGTGTATTGTTAAAGCGTGTAAGAACACCAACATAACGTGTACTCCGGAGGAAGTAAGCTTCCACAAGTTGCCGAATAATGCCATTATGAGTGAAGGGTGGCTTAAAAACATAGGAGGAAGTGTAATTCCATCCAATACTCTAAATGGTAAGTGTTGGTAATAGTAATATTTAATAACTTTAAGTCAAATTTATGTCAATGTTTATTTTTACTTCGATTTTGTTTCAACATTATAATATTGTCTTCTTCTGCTACTTTTTTTGAGACTCCAAAAATATAAATAATTGAAGAAATAAAGGACTCTTTTTATAAACAATAATTAATACGTTGAGAATGGCGAATAAGAGTCAATCTAAATCTGATAATATATTCTAATATTCTATATTGCGAAGAATATCACGTAATGTTTGGCGTTT